GCCAAGAAGGAATTTTTAAGGCAAAATATGTTTACAATGGCAGTAACCTGGTAACTATGGACATCCAAAGATGTACCGTATTTTGCTGAACTTGGGATGCTTGATCTTCCATGTTCTCTTTTCTTTGAAGGGAACTTTATCCACTTAAACTTACAACAATCTCTATACCTAGAATGGTTTTTATGCCGGGTGACAAACAACAGATGAAAGTTCACTTTCACTGAGAACATACCTCGGGCATATTTTTTAGGTCTATAAACGATCCGAAAAGAGCGATTGAATCAGATCTTATTATGGAGATTAACAACCAAGTCATGCGCATCATCTAGAAGCCTCCAGACGTCAAGCTGCCCAGCCATGCTATGGCACTCCCGCAGTATCTCATCCATGCTGCTGTACCTCTCGATGATCAGCCTCCTCCTCTGCAGGACGCAGGCCGCAATGGCATAGAGCAACAAATCGTCGGTTGGAGGAGCATGGAGCCTTATCCTTCCCCATGTGGACCTTCCGATCCCAGCTCGAACAGCGGCCTGATCAGCCCACATCACCTCCCACAGGCATAAAGTCTGCTCAAAGGTGAGCTCTCTCCTGAAGAGGACCAACACCATTCTGTACACAAAGAAGCAGTCCTCGGCCTGCAGCTTCTGCAGGTGTCTATAGAGGTGCGAGTCTTTGTGCTTGATGATCTGGGAGACAGTTTTCAACTGTCTTCTTATTCCAACCTCATCCAGCCTGAAGTTGTGCCGAGCTTTCTTCATGAAGCCCACGAAGCACCAAAATGCTTCATTGTCTTCCTTCATTACCGCAATTATAGGTGACAACAGGTCACTCATACCTTGGCAGTAGCCAATCTCTGGATCATAGAGTGCATACGCCTCAAGCAATGCAACTAACCGGGCAGCATGATATATCATATAAGGCTCTAAATGGTCATAATCTTTCAAACCAACAGACAATGCACGCTGCAATGCCTTTTCCTCGGAGATTTCATCCTGGTTACAGGAGAATAAAGCCCAGTCTGTGTTTGCCCGGATAGCGTCTAGACGTATAATGCGCTGCCATGTTGCAAAATCCTCTGGAGTTTTGTTAGATCTAAAGAAGTCTGACTTGGACGAGGTACTCCTGACAAATTTATGCTCTGGAGCGCAGTTCTCTTCTATATCAGCACAGACGGATATCTGGCCATGGTCATCTTCATCAGAAGATGCAGAGCCAGAAGATTCTGATTCTGCCATAGATGGATCTACACAAGTTAACTCACTTGTATCATCATCCATGCATTCTGCAGCACCACAGGCAGCATTATCCGGACTGTTTGCCTCGCTCCCTGAACAATTAAATACCTTGGCTGATACAGAAACACTTGCACTAACATCTTGCAGATAAGGCACACCACGAGAACACCCCTCATTGTTGATTTCATTTATGACCTTTAGCCCAAATCCCTTTTGGCAGTTCAGAATTTGATGGCATTTGCGCCTGAGCTTTTTGTACTCATTCCTGCACCCGAAGATGTGCCAAACAAAATGTCAATAAATTAATCAGACATCATTAAAGTCAGTATTCACATTCCATTCTCGTCTTATAATTTGAAACACAGAAAATTCCAACATGGGTCATGGAAGTTCCATCCAAGCTTATACGTATTACTTATCTACTCTCACTTCGTGCTATATCTGAAGGTGAGTAATAATCAATGCAGACCATGTGTACAACTAAAATCTAGAAAGTAAGGACCGACAGAAGGTGAGCTATTACGAAAATGTTACCTTTTCTTTGTCTTGATGATATTTCTTTCCTCTTCAGAACTATTTAAATCATAGCTGTATATGACAAGAAATTTGGTCAATCTTCAGACTTGGTGTAAAAAGCCTACTAAGCAAGAAGTACTTATTAAATGTTTTAAAAGACAATATCGAGGTACTTTGTTCACAGGTTCACATTAGATTTTACTACAACATATAAAATAGAACCACCAAATATTACTGTTTCAGACACAGTTCTGAATTCTGAAGAATGGTTTAAAAAACCTGACAAGACCAGTTAGACCGAAAAATCCTAAACTGTTGGCAGGTCTGGTCCACTTCAGCAATTGGACAATTTATGGAAACACTGAAAAAAAATAGTGCAAAATATGTGTCAATCCTCAGCCTCAGCCTCAGCCTCAGCCTCACCCTCACGGAGGACCTTCCCTATCAGACTATAACAGTACAACCTGAGCTGAACTTGATTGCTGACAAATACAGTATGCTATCTGGCCACAGTCAAGCAGCTCACACCATAGTTCCAACCGTTCAACCGGTCGCCACAACAGCTTACTCGCCTGTCTGGGTCTTAAAACTGTATTTTGTAAGAGTAGTTTTCTTGATCAGTTGCCATAACAGCTTACTCACCTGTCTGGGTCTTAAAACTGTTTGCTGTGCATGCTGGTGATCCTTAAAGAGTAGTTTTATTAATCTAAACCGTACTAATTTGGTAGGAACTTAAATTTTGCTAAACATGGGTTATAATTCTTCTATTCAATTTCGGTGGTGTATGCCTTTTCATGAAAGACGGAAAGAACAATATGAAAAGTTGGCTATGAAAATCCAGGTCACCGAAACCATTTGCCTCTTGGATTTGCAGGATTCCAAAACGCGGGAATAGGAAAAACGCAGGTTTGGAATGTCATGCTATCTTCACTACTATACAAGATTGAACGGTTTTTTTGTTGTTGTTGTGCATAGGAGAAACATGGCATTCTTTCCAAGAGGCTGGAGTGGATGGAAATTTTTCCTACAGAACCTAGTACAAATGAATCCTAAGGAAAAATACCTATGGTCTGCAATCCTATGAATCAAACAACCGATGTGGGAAAATTTCATAAGGATCAGAATCCTCTAAAATTCCTTTGGAAGCCCATTGAATCAAATAGACTTTGCAGTTTTCAATACATGGTGCAATATCAGATTTTATCTCTATTGTAGCTATCAAGTGAAATATCACTTTCGACTATATGGCTGAAATAACTACAAGAGCATAGTATTACTCGCTATCACAAGCATAGATTGACAAGAGGTTCACATTATACTGATATATTTAAACAACAGTTCAACAAGTTCATACTTAAATGCATGCAAGGACAGGAAGGAGGTTCAGAACACACCTTAAAAGCCATAATTGATGGCTCTCTGCATTAACCAGCTAAGCATTAGTGACACAATGTTCGGATTACATGCCTAAACTATGATACAGCCATCATACGCATGCTTCGCAGCACTTCAAGGCCAGATTACAGTTCAGGCATACTAGTTTAGCCCAATTTACATTTGCCATCAGATGAGATGTTTACACCGCATGCAAGGTTATCTAAATAGTTCTTGATGCTATAGGTGATTTAATCCTAAAAACTCTGCTAGCACATGCAAAAGAAGGGGCCCAGATAGGTAATATTTCAACAGGTTCACCGTACATTCTTTGAGGGTCACAACATTATTTTGCTTAGCACGCAACAAATAGAGAGGCAGACAGCAACAAGTAAATAACATTAAGTACTCAAGGAGTACTAGAACAATGAAAACCCTCTCTAAACTACGGGGAAAAAACACGAGATGCTTGCTACTGAAATTGCAATCATGTCTACAAGCTTGGAACTTCAAACCATGTTAACAAGATGACTGTTATAACATAGCAGATGTATAAAAATAGAGAGATCGGGTAACTTACACTCCAAGTAGAAAGGGCCAAACTTCAGCCCTGATACCTGGTTCAATTCCCTGTAAGAGAATTATAGAATTAATAACCTTGACATTCTTTAAAGTGGACTTAGATGCAGAACATTACATCATAGTGAACATGTGTATAGCTAATGATCACATATGTATGTCGGACATCCATTACAAATAAAACCTGGACACTAACGAAACTTACCCCACTGCGAACTTTCTTCAGAAATTTTCTTCCTCCATCACGAAACTTCCCATTCACAGAAAATAGACGGCTCCAGTTTTGACAAGAGAGTGCTTGTTTTCTTTTCCTCCGAGACCATGGAGATTTAATTGCACCTCTGGAAAAAGATTGCTTGCTTTATAAAAAATGAAATAGATAATTCTATAAAGTGGTGCGACCAAATGGTAATTTGGTGATAATTTAAGTTACGCGTTACTGTAGTTCAGCATTGTATTCACAATACAACTTTCCTTCTACTGTTCTACAACCAAATATTATCAGTCACATGTTAGGGGTGTTCAAAACGATTTTTATCAACCCATGGAAACCGGCAATCAGTGGCATAGTTCATTTTCATTTGTTGCTTTCAAATAGGGTGGTGAAGTTCGTACAAAAAACTGAATTAAGGATTTCACGGTTTGGTGTGAAACTGTTTTTTGGACACAGCTGCCACAGGTAATGCAAACCTTAGAAGCTAAATGTACCTCTTTATGAGTTGCTAGCAACACCCACATACAACTTGTAATCTACTCCCTCCGTCCCATAAGCCATAATATAAGATGTTATTACAACCAATATGTGAGTATATTGGTTGTAATAACATCTTATATTATGGGACGGAGGGAGTAACTCTGAACAGACCACTCAAACAGATGCTGAAGGTGCCCAGTTCACGATACTAGGAAACAATTGCAATGGACAAATCCATGGCACATACTTGCGAAACAACTCTACAACTGCCAACAAATGAAACCAAAACACCCTGCATGTCTAAACTTTTTAAGATGACTCATTGATTTTGGTACTAAATTGGCTGAACAACTGGCGTGCATTTCACGGAAACGGAACTAACAAGGTGAGCTACGACTTCCTGCCTACGAAGTGTGAACTCCTAACTAAGCCTTATCTAGATCAAAGCGTAAAACAACTTGGTCTGACCAGTGAGCACTTAAACAAAAGTAACATTTTTTTAGTCTAAAGGGGCATCTACATCAGTACTACCACTGACCAAACCACCATTTCCAGCAAAACACACACAAGAAGCATAATTTTGAGCATCATGAGTTGATTTAATCTAACTATGGGCCAAGAAAACAAAAAATGCTATTGGACAAAAATCCCCCATTTAAGCAACTTCATTTCTGTATTAATCGGTGGTCATAACTCCGGACGAGAGAACTGACCGGTCCGAATTCGGTGGGGATAACGACGAGGAATCTGCCGCAAGCAACGGCGACGCTGAAGCCGAAGCCGCCGCGGCCGATTTCCCCAACGCCGCCAAAGAGGAGGCCGACGAGGCGACGAGCAGAAGCGAACGGCGGTGGATCCGCGACGAAGACGGCGGCGGCGAGGATGGCGTCCTCGGGGACGACGAGGATGAGGACGAAGACGAGGTGCTGGATCGCCGCAGGGCCTTCATCGCCGCGGCGCTCTCCTGTCCTGCCTGCCCCCGCCCCCACCAATCGATTGTAACTACCGGGACCAAGCCCACACCGACTGCTCCCGCGTGAGGGCGGCGAGCCTCTCCATCGATGCCGCCGGGCAACGACGCGGACCTCGCCGGCGGCGAGGTGGGACTCAGTGGCGGATGCGGATCGCTGTGCGGTCGATTGGTGATTCGGTTCTCTCTCTCCGAAGAGAGACAAGGGGAGTTAAAAAAAGGTGGGTGCGGTGGGTGCTGGTTTTAAACAGTCGCGTACTGAGACTGACGTATGAGGTAGTAGTAGGATTCTCCGGCCCACGAGTCAGTGTGATCGTTCGAGTATCTTTTTGTATGGAGCAGTCTTTGTTCTTTGGCAGTACTGTAATTATTCTTGGTGGTAATGAAATACGGTCGAAAATGAATAGTACGGTGGTTTATGAATTATAAATTCCAAATCAGCTAGTAGTATTTTTTTCAATTTATCCCATTTCAAGCATTTTTAATACAATATCTTATTTAATGTCTGGTACTTATCTCACGAATTAATTGCTTGGAATGGTATCTCTAGAGAATAAATTCAGTTGGTTTACAAATAATAGACCGATTCATAATCAGCCAATTTTGTTGTAGTTCTTCCTCTCTTTTCTTGGAATATGTTGAAGTCCATCCATTTCAAGGATTTAGTAAGATCTTATTTAATTTTGTATGTCGATCTTATTTAATGTTTGGCACTTGTCTTGAGAACAAAATATTTGGCATGTATCTCTCCGTGCTAAAGTATGAGATTTTGGCTTGGTATGTGTCCGCTTCTTGTGTTGGTTATTTATATGGGTTTCCATGTCTGTAGCCGGTCTATGTCATTCCTTTTGAAAATATACAATAGCTTGATATCTATCTTTTATAAGTAGTATAATTAATTATTTCATGTAATTAGAAGTACTTACGTCGTAGCGAAGCAATCCAAATTTGATATGTATATCTCTTTCGTACTACAATCGGGTCCAGCATGAAAGGTTAGGTTTTCTTGGTGGAACCAACCCAAGTCAGTGTGACCGTTCGAGTATCTTTTTTGTATGGAGTAGTCTTTGTTCTTTGGTCTACTGTACTTATTCTTGGTGGTAATGTGAAATTCGGTCGATAATAAATACAGTGGTTTATGAATTATAAATTCCAAATCAACTAGTAGTAATTTTTATCCCATTTAAGCATTTTTAGCACAATATCTTATTTAATGCCTGGTACTTATCTCGGAAATTAATTATTTGGAATGATATCTATAAAGAATAAATTCAGTTGGTTTATGAATTATAGACCGCGTCATAATCAGCTAATATTATTTTTTTAGTTTGCCCTCCCTCTTTGTAGAATAGGTTGAAGTTCTTTCATTTCAAGGATTTAGTAAGATCTTATTTATATTTTTATGCCAATCTTATTTAACGTTTGGTACTTCTCGTGCAAACTAAATATTTGGCAGGTATCTCCCTGCTAAAGTATGAGATTTTGGTTTGGTATGTGCCTGCTTCTTGTGTTGGTTATTTATGGGTTTCCATGTCTGTAGCTAGTCTATGTCATTCCTTTTGAAAATATATGATAGCTTCATATCTTTCTTTTATAGTATAATTAATTATTTCATGTAATTTGTGTCAAAAAAAAATTACTTCATGTAATCAGAAGTATTTACGTAGTAGCGAAACAATCCAAATTTGATGTGTATAACTCTTTCGTACTATGAATCGAGTCTAACTCAAAAGGTTAGTTTTCTTTTTGTGGAACCAATCCACTAGGTTTAAGTTCTAGACTTGACACTCGTGCTCATATTTTTCGACGATGTTCGTTCAGTTGGAGTAGACATTCGTGTCGATTGAGGAGACACTTGTGGTAATTTTGTCAACCTCAAGATGATGTGTCGGCTCGGTCTTTCGAAGATGCTCATAGGGATATGGTATGCGTGTGTGTGTTCATAGAGGTGAATGTATGTGCGTATATATGAACGTCTACATCTGTATTGTGTTTGAAAAAACTCTTTCAGACTGGCCACCCAATATAAGGTTGTTACGCCTGACTGCCACCTGAGATTTAGACTGGTAACACGGACCAACTCTAGTTTTTTATGCACACTTTATCCTCACTCGTGCATACCAGAGATCAAAACAGACCAACTCTAGTTCTTTTTTTCTACGGGCACTCTTTTTCTTTTTTTGTTGATGTTCTTTGGTATTGTATTATTCTTGGTGGTAATGTGAAATTCGGTCAATCGATAAACGAATATGGTGCTTTATGAATTACAAATATGAAATCAGCTAGTAGTGATTTTGTTTAATTTATCCCATTTCAAGCATCTTTACTATATCATATTTAATGCTTGGTACTTATCTTGGGAATTAATTGGTTGGAACGGTGTCTTTAGAAAGTAAATTCGGTTGGTTTATGAATAATAGACCGGTTCATAATCAACTAATTCTTTGAAGTTCTTCCTCTCTTTTTCGTATGACAAGCTGAAGTTCTTTCATTTCATGGACTTTTAGTAAGATCTTATTAAAAGTTCTTTTATATCAATATTATTTAATGTTTGGTATGCTTATCATGAGAACTAAATATTTGGCATGTAGGAGTATCTCTCCCTGCTAAAGTATGATTTTGGTTTGGCACGTGTCCGCTTTTTTTAACGCAGTACAGATGCACACGCTCGTACAAACGCACACACACTCACCCATATGAACGGAAAAAAGCACACCCTACCTCTATGAGCACCTCCAAGAGACCGAGCTGACACATATTGTTGAAAGGCCTGAAATAAATTCAGAAATATTCAAGCATCAACATCAACATCAATTTCTAATCTCCTTTTTGCTGATGACTCTTTGATCGTTATGCGAGCCAATCCAAGGAGTGCGGAGGCGCTGAAATCACTTTTGGATTTGTATTGTGCCGCCTCGGGGCAAATGGTTAGTGTTGAAAAATCTAGTATATTCTTTAGTCCCAATACTAAAGTGGAAGACAAGGCACAAATATGTACAATTTTAAATATTATGACTGAAGCCCTCAATGACAAATACCTGGGTTTGCCGGCAAATGTGGGCATGGACAAAAGTGATTGTTTCCAGTTCCTGATCGATCGAATCATTACGAAAATTAGTGGATGGAAGAAAAAATTATTATCTTCTAGAGGGAAGGAAATTCTGCTCAAATCTGTTGTACAAGCCATCCCCACCTATGACATGTCCGTCTTTAAAATTCCTAAAAAATTGCAAAGGAATTATTGACGCGATGTCATGGTTTTGGTGGGGTGATGAGGACAATCAAAAGAGGATGCATTGGATGGCATGATGGAAAATGTGTGTTCCAAAAGATCAAGGAGGTATGGGCTTCCAAGATATACATTGTTTCAACCTGGCGCTATTAGCTAAACAAGCGTGGCGTCTTCTCGATAATCCGGAATCTTTATGCGCAACCATCTTGAGAGCTAAATATTTCCCTGAGGGAGATTTAATGAACGCAAGTTTAAAGAAGGGATCCTCCTTTACTTGGCAAAGCATTATGGCGGGAGTGAACTCTTTGAGAAATGGTTATATCTGGCGAGTTGGAAATGGACAAAACATCGATATTTGGAGAGATGCGTAGATTCCGAATTGTGCGAATAGGAAAATTATTACTCCTAGAGGTGGGAAACTTCTGTCAAAGGTGGCTGATCTTATTGATCCAATCACGAATTTCTGGGATGAAGATGTTGGGGAACGTAGTAATTTCAAAAAAATTCCTACGCACACGCAACATCATGGTGATGCATAGCAACGAGGGGAGAGTGTGATCTACGTACCTTGTAGATCGACAACGGAAGCGTTTGGTTGATGTAGTCGTACGTCTCCACGGCCCGACCGATCAAGCACCGAAACTACGGCACCTCCGAGTTCTAGCACACGTTCAGCTCGATGACGATCCCCGGACTCCGATCCAGCAAAGTGTCGGGGAAGAGTTCCGTCAGCACGACGGCGTGGTGACGATCTTGATGTACTACTGTCGCAGGGCTTCGCCTAAGCACCGCTACAATATTATCGAGGACTATGGTGGAAGGGGGCACCGCACACGGCTAAGAATATGATCACGTCGATCAACTTGTGTGTCTCTGGGGTTCCCCTGCCTCCGTATATAAAGGATCAAGGGGGGGGGGTGCGGCCGGCCTAGGAGAGGCGTGCCAGGAGGGATCCTACTCCCTCTAGGAGTAGGATTCCCCCCCCCCCCAATCCTAGTTGGAATAGGATTCGCGGAGGGGGGAAAAGAGAGAGGGGGGCCGGCCCCCTCTCCTTGTCCTATTCGGACCAAGGGAGGGGAGGGGCGCGCGGCCCATCTTGGTCTGCCCCTTCTCTTTTCCACTAAGGCCCACTAAGGCCCATCTAGCTCCCGGGGGGTTCCGGTAACCTCCCGGTACTCCGGTAAAATCCCGATTTCACCCGGAACACTTCCGATATCCAAACATAGGCTTCCAATATATCAATCTTTATGTCTCGACCATTTCGAGACTCCTCGTCATGTCCATGATCACATCTGGGACTCCGAACAACCTTCGGTACATCAAAATGCATAACTCATAATATAACTGTCATCGTAACCTTAAGCGTGCGGACCCTACGGGTTCGAGAACAATGTAGACATGACCGAGACATGTCTCCGGTCAATAACCAATAGCGGGACCTGGATGCCCATATTGGCTCCTACATATTCTACGAAGATCTTTATCGGTCAGACCGCATAACAACATACGTTGTTCCCTTTGTCATCGGTATGTTACTTACCCGAGATTCGATCGTCGGTATCTCAATACCTAGTTCAATCTCGTTACCGGCAAGTCTCTTTACTCGTTTTGTAATACATCATCCCGCAACTAACTCATTAGTTGCAATGCTTGCAAGGCTTAAGTGATGTGCATTACCGAGAGGGCCCAGAGATACCTCTCCGACAATCGGAGTGACAAATCCTAATCTCGAAATACGCCAACCCAA